AAATATGAAAGTCTAAAGAGGGTTCAAAGCATGAATTTTCGATGTATCTGGAAACTAACATCTGATAATGTAATCAGAGTAGTTATCTGACACCTGTTGCCCAGTTCTGGGAACCACCTTTGGAATAATTGTTGTCATTGCACACAATAACAATAATAACTAGCATAGTGCCTAAGGCATTTGACTGCTAACCAGAAGGCTGGCAGTTCAAACCCACCAGCCATTCCTCAGAAAGAAGATTGGGCAATCTACTTCCGTAGTGATATTGCCTCAGAAAGCCAAAGAGGGGTCACTATGAGTCAGATCCGACTTGACAGCAGTGAGTTTGGTTTTGGTTTGATTTGGCCATCAAGTCAACTCTGACTTATGGTGGCCCTATGTGTGTCAAAATAGAACTGTTCTCTATAAGGTTTTTAACAGCTGATTTTTCAGAAGTTAATTGTCAAGCCTTTATTCCCAAGCCATCTCTGGCTGAATTCAAACCACTAACGCCACTCCTTGGAAGGAAGGTTGGGCATTCCTACTTCCGTAGTGATACTGCCTCGGAAACCCAAGGAGGGGTCGCTATGAGTCGGGTTTGACTCGACAGCACATAACAACAACAACAACAACAACCTTTCAGTTAGCAGCCAACCATTTGCAACACTGAAGGTATATACTAGTATTAGCTAATAAGATTAATAGCTAATTTATTTTTTAATTTTTATTGTGATTTGGGTGAAAGTTTACAGAACAAATTCATTTTCCATATAGCATTTCATACACATTTTATATCATGACATTAACTGCAACCCACAATGTAACAGTTCTCTTCCCACTTCCTCCCCATAGTCTCCTCTTCCCTGTGTCCTTCCCTCCCATGCACTCCCACCCATAAGCTGTCTCTCTCTGCAAATACTGCCCTTCTGTTTGCCCATGATTGGTTGTTCCAAGGAGTATATCTACCTGATGTAAATGTTCACCCCATATGCCTATCTATTGTTGGGCTTGAAGCTACAAGAGTGAGTTCAATTTCAGCCCAGAAGGGTGGCTAGGGGCCGTAGTCTCAGGTGTCTCACCAGGCTCTATCAGAACACCAAAACTGGTCTCTTTTTTTTATGATTTTGAGTTTTGTTCCACGTTGTTCTCCCACTCTATCATGATCTCCTGTACCAATCCCCCTCTGAGTGATTAACAGTGGTAGCCAGACACCATCTAGTTCCTCTGGTCTCATGGTCATATAGGCTGAGGATCGCATGGTCTACCAGTCTCTTGGCCTAATTGTTTCCATGTGTCTTTGATTTTCTTCATTCTTCTTGGCTCTGGATGAGGAGAGACCCATCGTTGCATCTCGATGGCCACTTGCAAGCTTTTAAGACCCCAGTTGCTACTCACCAAAGTAGGATGTAGAACAATGTTTTTGTGCAGTATCTTATGCCAATTGTAATAGCTGATTATTTTGAGCTCTGGTGGCATAGTGCCTAACGCATTTGACTGCTGACAGGAAGGCTGGTGGTTCAAACACACTAGCCCTCCTCAGAAGGACGATTGGGCAATCTACTTCCGTAGGGATACCACCTCAGAAACCCAAGGAGGGGTTGCTGTGAGTCGGATCTGATTCTATGGCAGTGAGTTTGATTTGGTTTTTGGTATACTTGGCATAGTTCTTTGTACTTTATACATATCAATTCATTTAGTCTTTACAACAGCCCTAAGAAGCAAATACTAGTATTGACCCCATTTTTTAAATGAGAAAACTGAGAAACAGAAAGATAAAATAATTTCCCTCAGGTCACATGGTGAGTAGATAGCTGACTTGGGATTCAAACCCAGAGAGTATAATTTCAGAGCCCAGAGCAATGTTATAGGGCTTCCCTTCCTACTAAGATGCCCTTCACCTATCACTTGTCTTGAAAATTCTTTCTCATCTTTAGATTTCACTTTATATTCATCTCCTCCCCTATATAGACATAGATATTTTTCCCTCTTGGTACACAACCGCATGGTACTGTAGTTAACTATTGGTGTATCATTTTTCCCTACCCATCATTAAGCTTCTCAAGCTCAGAGGAGGTGTCTTACCTTCTTCCTGAGTATCTAACATGATGCTTGGCACAGAGCAGGCACACCAAATATTCCTGGAGAATGAATGAATAGATGAATGAATGGATGAATATTTCAGCATACATCAGACACTACCAAGACTACACAGGTATCACATTTAGACACAATTCTACAGAAATAATTTTAATAAAAGTCAAAAATGACTTATTGGAGCCAGATGTGATTTAGAATTCAGAATTTTTCAGATTTTAGGAAAATAACATACAATGTGTATGCTATAACTCACCTAACACTCCCAATGGGATTTGGACCAGCACCTCCCAACCAACCAAATTTATGTTTCAGCAGTGAAATGTGTGGATTTTCAAAAGAAGTAGGATATAGCTTATGAATTGCCCTACATCAGTTCAGGTCAAGTTTTACCATCAATTGAATTTGCTGGAAAAATTGTATGTGAGGGGTTTTCAGAATTGTTTGGATTTGGGGGCTGTGAAAAAGGGACAGTAGACTTCATAAAGCTGTAGTTTATGTTACTTTGGATGATAAATCTACCTAGACTACATTGCTTTTAATAGTTGGTTTGAGCCCTTAAAATAAGTGGAAGAAGGTTAATTTAACTAACTGTCAAGTTCTAAAGACAATTTATTGTTCCTTAAAAGACAAACTCTTACCTCCATGATCACAAAGACGAGTGGGAATAACTTTGGCATATTAAAATGAGACTTTTCACCTTGTACCCTTTCCTAAACTGAAAATATGACTATTGCAGTCCATACCTTCTCTCTGTTCTCCTCCCCCTGCTCTTTTCTCAGACAGAAAAATAAAATAGCTAACCAAAAGGTCAAATACATACATCAGAGAACACTGCCTAGTCTCACAGGACATAGCATCTTCAAACTCTTACAAAAAAATGTTTCTTAACCATAAGAAAAACAAAGAAACAAAAACCATTGACAATGAGTTCATTCTGACTTGTGGTGACTCCTTGTGTTGAGGAGAAGAACTGCTGCACAGGGTTTTCTTGGCTGTGATCTATACAGAAGCAGATCACCTGGCCTTTTTTCTATGGTGCCATTGGATGGGTTCAAATCACCAACCTTTAGTTTAGTAGTTGAGCACATACTGTGCTCCACCCAGGGACCTTTAATAGTCACAACTTACGTTAAATGGATTGCTTGTGCTTTGGAGCCAATCAGTGTATTTGCAAATTCCCAGCCTCAGAATTATAGAGCAGAATATAGGAGTCTACCATAGAAGGCTAATAGAACTTGCACAGTTCCCTTTAGTGTTTTTCTGAAGAGCTCTGTAACAGGATTTTTGGTAGGTCTACTATCTCAAGTCCCTAAGGTGGGCTCCATGTTGCATGTTAGGCTCCATACCAGCTCTGGCTGTACTTACTTGCCTAAGGCACTGTGGAGAAGCCCTTGATTCAGAAGACCACTTAATAAAATGTGTGTATGTTTGTGCCTATTCTGGTCTCAGAAGCAATTAGAGTTAGGATACACTCTACTCTGATATGAGCTTAACTGATTGATTGATCACGTTACATTGCACTATGGAAGATGATTATATTACATTGTGGACAGTGGTTACATTATACTAGATTACATTATGGAGAGCAATTGCATTACATAATGGCAGATATAAGGTCATTCATTACATTACATTACAGAAAGTAAATTATACTTCCCAAAGTCAACTGATTTAATTTAACTACATGTGACTAATTCATGACAGCAACTAAACTAGTGTTTAGTCAAATAACTGGAAACTATAGTCTAGCCAAGTTGACACATAAAATTAACCATCACAGGTAAGAATTTGCTTAGTCATCATATCAGGATCCTTGATTTCCTAGGCTCATGAATAAGTGTGACAGTTGCCAGTTAATCATAAGTCAAGACTCTCAGAATTGTTGTTGTTGGATATTGTCAAGTTGGTTCTGACTCATAGTGACGCTATGTACAAAAGAACAAAGCACTGCCTGGTCCTGCACCATCCACACAATTCTTGCTTGTTTGGGCCTATTGTTACAGCCACTAGGTCAATCCATCCCATTGAGGGTTTTCCTTTTTATTGTTGATCCTCTACTTTGATGGATAGCATGATGTCCTTCTCCAGGGACTGGTCCCTCCTGATAACATGCCCAAAGTACATGAAACAAAGTCTCACCAGCCTCACATCTAAGGAGCATTCTGGCTGTACCCTTCCAACACAGATTTGTTTGTTTTTCTAGCAGTATTCTTAACCAACAGCACAATTCAAAGGCATCAATTCTTATTCAGTCTTCCTTACTCATTGTCAGGCTTTTGCTGAAAATAACATGGCTTGGACCAAGTACACTTTAATCCTCAAAGTGACATCTTTGTTTTTAAACACTGTAAAGAAGGCTTTTGCAGCAGATTTACCCAATGCAATAATACATACTTTGATTTCTTGACTGCTGCTTCCATGGGTGTTGATTGTGGTTCCAAGTAAATAAAATCCTTGACAACATCAATATTTTCTCTACATAACATGATTTTCAGAAAAAAGTGGTTCAAAATAGTAAAAATTTCAGAAAATATTTCCATGACAGGATGTGTAAATTGGTTCGTTCAGATTTCAACTTGTAGTACTGAGTGAGTTCATTGAGCAAAAAAAAATTCAATATCCTTACTTCCTGTGGATCTCAACGTCAATATTTCATGGCCTCTAAAACTTCAATACAATTATTTCACCTCCCCATATGGACCAAGTTAAGTATTAGAGTGAACACAGCTCTGCCAGGTGAACAGCGATTGGCAAAATGTCGTTGGGGTTCTTACATACCATGCCAACCCTTAATTTTATTTTTAGAATGGGGCTCTGTCACATCAATTGAGAATAGCCATATCTGAAAATATCTGTTTGTTTTCACAGATATGGTTTCTTTTTATTTTCTTAGCTCATCATGTGTTTTGTTTTCCTTTTTTTAGAGCTATAAAAAATTCTGTGCCATTCAAAGATGTAGACTCAGACAAATACAGTGTTTTCTCAGTAAGTATTGTTAAAAATAAATAGCTCTTCACTAAGTACTGCCTAACTTCCTACAAATTTCTTTACTTTAGTAAGGAAAAGATTGAATTTCACTTGACTATACTGGCATAGTACCTAAGGCATCTGACTGTTAACTAGAAGGTTGTCGGTTCAAACCCACCAACCACTCCGTGGATGGCAGACTGGGCAATCTACTTCCCTAAACATTTACCACCTCAGAAACCCAAAGGGGGTCACTATGAGTGGGAATCGACTTGATGGCTGTGAGTTTGGTTTGGTTTGGTTGAAACTAGTAGTGGTGTATGAACAATGCACCATTTTATGACTTTTAAGGACTTTGGGGCATCAGATTACTACATGGACCAACAAGGAGAATCTTATACCTAGACCATTCTGTTTTCTGCAGCCATTCCCAGCTGGAATTCTCCATGAGGACTGCAGTTATCTTGACGGGTTGTGAGAATTATTTTGGAAATTCTTAAACTTAAACCTGCTTTAATTTACTTTCTGAAAGTGTTGCATATATGTGTGTGTGTGAGATTTACAACAATTAGAAAGTCAGTGTGTTCTCCATTAATGCAAACAAGTAAATAACATGTCACAAGCACCCAAAAGTTTGGTTATCTCAGATAGTCTACTTGCAAATGGAGGAAATAAAAACATTGTTTGATTATCTTGACTCTTGCTTTTTTAAAATCAGTCAAGTCAAATATATAAATTCCCATGATTAATCAGTTTGATCAAGGATTTATAAATCATCCAATAAAATCATTAATCATGTGACAAAATAAGCCAGTTGTTTCAGAGCCTGAGAGGATTGACAAGTAATAGTGGGATTTCAAGGGGTAGGGTAGTCCTGTTGTTTGTGGAGGTACAAATAGACACACACATGAACATACACATATACATAAACACACGATCTCATGTGTGTGGCATGTGTGTGACATACATGCGGGCACATGTGTGTGCATGCGTGTGCACATGTGTTCATACATGCACATTTACACGCATGCACCCACATTCAGGCACATATCCAACATCACATGCACCCACCCCACCATAAACACAAATACATACAAACATGCTCACACATTCATATACACACACACAACCTCTTGCTATTGACCTTGGTACTATGTTACATTTCCCCTCACCCAGACTGCCGTACCATTAATATTAATGAAGATTAATATCTTCATTTTCTTAGTGATATTTAGTGTTCCTCAACTGTATTCAAATTAAAAAGCACAGATTTTAATAACACTCAGGCAGTTGTGATGGACCTTCACTGTGGATCAATCAAAGTCAGCCTGAGCTCCCCCTGTATGTCTTCACTTCCAGACACTGCGGGGCTACCACTGGCGAGGGCGAGATTGCAACGACCGTGACAAGATGGCGTATCCAGGCAGAAGGTAACTGACTCCACTGGCTCTCTGAAATCACCTTCTAAAAAGAAAGCAGGAGGTATAATTTCTTCCTGTAGCCTAAGAGATTCCCATGTACAGATAGAAGGAACATCTATGCCCCAACAGAAGTAAATCTCAGTGAAAAAATGCTACATCATTCATTCATTAATTCATCTGGGTAATGCTCATCACACACCTACTATTGATCAGGCCATTTGCATCATATTGGGTGGTACCCAACATAAAACATGCCTCATTTTTGTGAAGGTAGTCTAGTGGGTGAAACAAGCAAGGAAAACAGAATATGGTGGACATTCAGGCTCTTGCACTAGCTTTACATGCAGGATTGGGCTCAGAAATAGTGACCTCCCCAGCAGGAGGCATAAGGAGAGGGCTCCGTGAAAGGAAAGCATGGCACATTTTAGTCCTGGCTGATGGTCAGCCAGTCACATCTCTGGCTTCAAAAAGTGGATATGCCAGCCTTCACCTAGGCTGTGACTACAGTGCCAAAGCATTAAATTAACCAGATGTTTGGGTGTTTTAGAAGCACAAATTTAATGTCTTTACCTATTTAAATAACATAGACTACAGATGTGTTAATTATGCTCATCAGCACCATTCCACAATCATACAGTTCAGAATCCTGGATTTGGTCCAGGGTTCACAGCAAATATCCAAAACAAAGACTGATGTCAAAGAGGGCACATGAAGGCTTTGGTATGCCATAATATACAATGAAAGAATGAGGCTGTTGTCTCTCAGTGTCACTTCATGTCTTACTCACTCACTCATTCACTTATTTATTCATGAAACTAACATTCACCGAGTGACAAGTATATGCCCAGCCCAATGTCTATGTTTTCTTCTTAGGCCAGACAACTGGGATGCACATCAGGATTCAAACTGTAATGGCATTTGGGTAAGCAAATCAATTCAAATGCATTGCTGTTCTCTTTCTACCCACTCCCAAAAGTCTGTTGCCTATTTGCTTTAGTCAGACCTAAGGAAGAAAAATGGCAGCCTCAAGCAGTTCTTTTCTGCTATTTTGAAGAAAGTATACATGAAGAGTCTCAATGATGTAATGAGAGTTTGAGGCCCTTTTAAACCTTGCTTAAGGTCACCCATGTCTAATTCCTTTATTCTGTTTTGAACTGTGTGAAATCAAATGAGGAATGGTGTTAGCAAAGTTTTACAGCAACACAAACAGCTGTTGAAGCAAACCACCTGCTGTCACCATCTTATTGCAGCCATTTTTTTCTATTTCATAAGCCTAGGCAGGCAAAGAGGAAATTCTCCCGTAGTCATCTTACTACCTGCACCACAAAGCTTTGCTGGTGGTGCCCCAGTGCCCTATGAATAATAGATATCAGCTTCTAAGTAGAAGAAAAAGAAGGCAGGAGAAAAGTCTACCAAACATTTATCTGTGGACAACAAAAGTGATGATCCAAGTGTTGTGGGGTCTTAAGCCTATCTGATTTGTTGGGTCTTTGTGGGAAAAAAAAAAAAAAAAAAGAATACCAAATTACAACACAAAATCAAGTATGGAAGTAAATAATTGTTTAAAATAATAAAAGAAATCCTAAAAAATTACTGAAGTCGCAGAAATTCAGGTCCTGCTCTTTTGTGATCTCTCTACCTTGATTGCTTACATGGAAACAGTTCTTGATGGCCATCTTTCTACCTGACTTCCTCTTCCATCTAGAACACTAGTGGCTCTCAGCCACTCCCAACATTCACATGGCTGGGGGTTATGCAAACAAGTGCCCCTGAAGCTTAAGATTCTGCAGCTTCATGGTAAACTGTCTCTGAATAGTTGCTTCATTTGTTCTTGGATGATGAGCGGAAATTTTCCATAAATATTTCCCTCTCTCCAGGACACTAGTATACCAGGCTTATACTAGTAACCACCTACAGACTGCCTTCATGCCCCATGGCCTTTGGGATATAGAGAACATGACAGACAACTGTATGCCAGCCCACACCACCCACCTTATCCTTAGTGATGTGGCTATTCCAGAGGAGTAGAAGACATCCCCTTCAGAGTTCGAGTGTCTAGATCCCCAACATAGCTCCTGTTCTGACAAGCCTAAGTTTAATTGACATGTGGGAGGACAAATAGGGCTTGTCAAGTATGCGAGGCTGTTTCCTTTGTTCCGTGGTCTCACTCCTGCTTAATCATGGTGGGCCACTCGCATAGGAAGGGCCAAGAGGAGACCATGCTAGACCAATGGCAATCCACCATCAGCTCAGGGACGTGAGATGCAGAGTTCATCATTAGTAATGGGAGAGACACTTTCATACCTACTCCTTTCCACTGAGGAAAAATGACTCATAAGTCATAATACCAGAAAAGGCTTTTCAAACATCTACACTCACTGCCGTTGAGTTGGATCTGACTCATAGAGACCCCTTCTTGGGTTTCCAAGGCGGTATCTCTATGGAAGTAGATTGCTGTATGTCCTGCTTACCTAGTGCCACTCTGACAAGAATTTACCCCAAATGGGATGGCTTGAACAAACAAGAGTTTGGGAAGCTAGAAGTCTGAGTTCCATGTGCCAGGGTCTAGGGGCTGGGTGGAAAACCCCTCAACTTGGGCTTCAGCTCTGCCTCCTGCTCCCAGCCCACTGAAACTAGACACTTTTATTCACTCAGACAGCTGCTGGCTGCTGAGGCTAACAAGCCCAGGGTTGACAAATAAAATGGCTCAGTCCCAATGTTACCAAACAACATGGCAGGCCATTGATTCAAATCCATTGAAAGTCCCAGGATCAGCAGAGCATGGCAGGCTGCTGAACAACGACATAGCTACATGCCAGGTTCAAGTGTGCCATAAGTTAGAGATCATTCCCCAAGGCTTCTCCTTATATACAGGAAGCAGACCACATCCCTAAGATAGCTACTCAGCTGCTCACAGTAGATTCTACCATGGAGGTGATTACAAGTCTCATCATGGGGAATACCACATCCCACTGACCAGCCACTCAACCAGGCCAGCCAAGTTGACACACAGACTTAATTACCACACTGTATTTAAAGAAGTTCTGGTGGTGCAGTGGTTAAAGCATTCAGTTGCTAACCAAAATGTCGGCAGTCCAAACCCACTAGCTGTTCCATGGTAGAGAGATGAAGCAATCTGTTTCCATAAAGATTTAGAGCCTTGGAAACCCTATGTCCTATAGGTTGGCTATGAGTTGGAATTGACTTGATGGCAGTAGGTTGGTTTTTGAATTTAGTCTATATTTCCCAACTTTGTCCACACAACTTCAGTGTTGAGTGTGATGTTAAAAGGTATAAAGGGGAAGCAATTCCATAGTCAAGTCAGTACTGGGTCAAATAAAGTTAAGTAGCTTCCTATATTTCCAGATTTGTTGGCATCTTTAATGTTTTAATGTGCATTAGGAGCCCCCAAGACCAAGAAGGGAGCTCTGGTGGCATAATGTTTAAGGCATTTGGCTGCTTGCTAACCAGAAGGCTGGCAATTCAAACCCACTAGCCACTCCTCAGAAGGAAGCAATCCACTTCCGTAGAGATACCACCTTGGAAAGGGTCTCTATGAGTCAGAATTGACTTGACAACAGTGAGTTTGGTTTGGTTAAGACCAGGAGAGTGAATAATGTTTCCAACAGGTCTCTATCAGGCACTTTTGTCTTTAATATAATTATTATGTTATTTTGTGCATTATTATATTATTAATATATATTATTATCATTAGGAGCTCAGGTGGCGCAGCGCATAAGGCATTTAACTCCTAACTAGAAGGTTGGCGGTCAAACCCAAATGGAGCAGTGCTCTCCAGATCAAAGTTTGACAAATAGCAAAAACAAAAATAGGATTTTTCAAGCTTTCCCTTAACATTATCCAGATTCTAGGGAGCTTCTTCCTCCACTAGTGGATAGCTTCAGCTTTAGGTGTTAAAAAGTTCTCTCAACTGTAGTAATTTAATTTGTAAAGCAATTCACAGCCCCAACGTTACTTCTAGGCTTCTCAAACTCATTATGCTTGACATTTTGAGTCAGATATTTGTCATAGGGAGCTTTCCTGTGAATTTAGGATGTTTAGCAGCATCACTGATCTCACCGCACTAGAAGCCACTAGCACACCCTCCTACCAAAATGTCTCCAGACTTTGCCAATGTTCCCTGGGGTAGGAGTGGAGGGCAAAATCATCCCTGGTGAAGAATTGCTGCTCTGAAAACATCAATCTTTATATGAACTGCTGAAAGGAAAACGGATTTGCTCTGTAAACTTTCACCCAAACCACAATAAAAAGTTAAATAAATAAATACAGGAATCTTCAGTTACTGGAGATATCAGAACTTTGTGTCACAGTCCTCAGTGCTCCAAGGAGTAAGCGTCCGGACCTGGGCATCTCTCCCATCACTACAGCTCTGCCCTGCACTGCAAAAGAGAAGGCCCAGTTTTTGGATCTATCCTTATTTCTGCCCCAGTTCCTTTCAACTCCAACTGATTAGCATGGAGTGTTACTATATTGAATTAGAGGTTTAAGAGACTTTAAAGGGTTTTACCTATTGATTAGCCTTTACCCTTTTAAAGCCATTTGGGAAGGATTCATTGTATGTGTCTCATAAATTTCAAACACAAACTGTTAATCTCATCATTCCTCTTTTAAAGGGTGTTGATCCAAAAGATGGAATTCCGTATGAGAAGAAATTCTGTGAAGGTATGAATTGTAAGAGCCAGTGTGCTTATTACCATAGAATATTCTTTCCTAGTGTGATTCAAATTGAAGTGAACCAAACACCCAAGTGGAAAAGTGCCTGATGCTAGAACTTTCTTTAAGTTGACCAATTTACATTATTTTCCCTGACAGATCAAAGAAAAACCTGTAAAAGATGTATAAAAAAGAGGCAGAATCTAGGAAAAGCAAAACTGAACTTCTTTAATTGATTCTTTTATTTGGGGACTGGAAATTATAATGATGATATTAGGAAAGGCTCCAGGATGGATAAAAGGAAAACAAAATCCAGCACTTCTCCAAATAAGAAAAAAATAGAGGTGATAACTGCAGTTTTTAATCTGGAATTTTAATTTCTTTCTCAATACTCTACAAGGTCAGAACGCCCTTAGTTTGTAATGATGGGTCCCTGTGTCAACTCAGCTAAAGGTGCATGTCTGGGTGACTTGAGGGTGATCTACAATCTATAGCCTCAGAGATTCCCAAAATAGTGTCAAAATGCCACCAACATCTAGGCCACCGGTACTGTTAAGAGAAACCTACTTCTTCTGTCCCTGCATTACTGAAAACATGTCCAAAGTCTTAAACAAGACCTATGGAAATAGCATACCATAGGATATTTTATGTCTGGGCAATGTTTTTCTCAAACATTTGGAAAGCATTCATTCATTCATTGCAGTATTTCCTGGATACCTATTCCTATTATGTGCCTAGAACTATACTTGGCACTGTGTTTTCATGGCCAAAAAAGATACAGGCATTATCTTCAATCAACTTAAAGTCTAATTATCTTTAAGTTCTTAGAGCAGCAGGAAGGGGGGATAGAAAATGTAAAAAGCTGCATATATTTGTGCAGCTGAGAAATGCTTCTTGGAGAAATGAAAGAATGAACAAATGAATGAATGAATGAATCCAGATCTAGGAAAAACCCTGATGTGAGGTTACCATGGGAAGCCTCTTAAATTCCCCCACATCCCAACCCATTGTGCCCTCCTGGACGCCCTCCTGGCCTTCCCAGTCCCTATTTGGTGTGGCTGGTGCTGCCTGCTGTGGGATACGGAGTTACTTGTAGTGAGGCTGGGTGGCCCTCCACCATGACTGGGGTGTTAGGAGGCAAGAGAAGAGGCTCCCTTCTCTGACTTTTGGAGCTATTGATAGATTCTTCCAGAATCTTAAGAGAGAGAGAAGAGTACATCCATAGGTAAATGGTTTGTGTAGATGGGCCTCATTTGTGTAGATAGGCCTCAGGAACAGATTAAGTGATTTTTAACCTATAAACATATCGGGCTGCATAAAGGCCTTGATATTTCCATCTCTTCATTAATCAACCAGAATAGTCTATCCAATGCTTTTGTGTATAAGGACTTTAAAAGATGATAACATCCTTGAAAAATCAAAATTGATCCATGAGGTCATTAATTCTTAAAGCAAATTGCACCATAAATGGGTGTGTCTTCCAAGAAAGCAATTTCCAGAACCAAAATTTAGGGCATATTTCTGAATTCAGATGAAGTTTTGAGTCCCTTATCCATCCATCATTCACTCAGGATGCTGTGCGGCAGTCTATTTTGTGCTGAGCTGGGAGACACACCTGCATCTGCAGAGCTTAGCCAGCAGTTCGATGGCCTAGAAATCTCATCCAGCTCCTAAAGGCTATGCCCATGCCTCTCTCTCTCCAGCACAGGAACAGAGGCAGTGCATCACTGTTGGGATGTTCTGAGCCTGCAATTCATTCCAGGGTATCTTCCTTCCCAGAACTACCCAACCTGAAGACTCCAGACAACTTGAACACAATAATAATGTGAATAAATCATCTGCCTAGGTTCACAGCCCAGGGGAATTATTTTGCTGGGAGACTCAGCTGGGGCTCATTTCCACATCCCTCCTGAATGGATCACAGCATCACAGATGTCTTTGGTAAGTAATGTTGGCAGTAATCATTCTTGGATGTGCTGGCCTTTGTTTTTGTTTTCCCTTGCTCTCTCTTTAAATGGGACGCCAACTCAAAACAGGTGCAAATTTTCCTCCTCAGCAAAATCTGCCATGAAAGGCGCATCCACAGCCATTTCAGCTTTAGGCAAGTGGGGGCACAGGGTTTCTTCAACTCACGCTTCGGCGGAACATCAGTTCCTCTACTGCTTCCTGTTGTTGTTATGTGCCATCGATTCAGACCCGACTCATAGTGACCCCTCCTTGGGTTGCCGAGGCGGTATCACTATGGAAGTAGATTGCCCTACTTCCAGGACCCCTGAAAATCACAGGTGAGAGCAAGAAGAAAGTGGCTCACAGACAGCACACAAGACCATCAGGCTGGCTTCTCCGTGGAAGTCAGGCACAGACGCTTTGGGGTTTCTCTGGTTGCTTTTTGTCTGATCAAGCAGAAGGGACAGCAGTGCAGGCTGCTTAGCTTCTGGCAGCCATTGCTGCAGCACCACAGAAGGGCTTCAGGGGACAGGCCAGCCTGCTTTCAGTTCCTCAAGAAAGGCAAGACTGTCCTGGAGAATTTTTTAAATTAAGAACATGAAGAAGCACTCCTAGGTATACACCCAAAAGAATTAAAAACGGAGACTCAAATAGATATGTGTACACCAGTGTTCACTGCAGGGCTTCAAACTGGTTCATTCCAGTTAGACCCCCTGCTAAGAATTTGCCTTTCCACTCCAGATATACATAAGAATCGCCTGGGGATCTTGTCAAAATGTAGATTCTGATTCAGTGTATCTGGAGTGAAAAGACAAATTCTCAGCAAGGGGCCAAACTGGAATGGGCAGGTTTGAAGCCCTGGTTCATTGTATCACTATTCACAATAACCAAAAGGTAGAAACAACCTACGTGTCCTCAACAGATGAACAGATCAGCAAAACGTGGTATATTCACACTTAGAAAATACTCTTTGCCGTGGTGTTGATTCTGACTCACGGTAAAGCCCTGTGTTATAGAGAACTGCTCCATGGAGTTTTCTTGGCTGTAATCTTTACAGAAGCTGATCACCAGGTCTTTCTTTCCATGGTGTTGCTGTGCAGGTTTGAGCCTCCAACCTTTAGATCAGCAGCCAGACACAAACAGTTAGTGCCACCAAGCCATGAAGAAAAATGGAGTTCTGATGCACAGTACAAAATGGATAAACCTTGAAAACATTATGCTGAATGAAATAAGTCAGACAAAGAAGGACAAATATTATACAACTCCACCTCTATGAAGTATCTAGAATAGGCAAATCCATAGAGAGCAAAGCTTATTAGTGGTTCCTGGGGGCTGGGAGGAAGAAGGAATGGAGATCTATTGCTTAAGGGGTATTGAGTTTCCATTTGGGGTGATGAAGGACTTTGGAACTAGATAGCAATGATGGTAGCACAACTTAGGGAATGTGATAAATGCCACTGAATTGTACACCTAAAAAATGGTTAAAATGGCAAATGTTGTATTTATTTTGCGATAATAAAAGAAATTAAAAAACAAAGTATGAAGAAGACCATGAGACAGAGTTGCAACCCAGAGAGACTCAGAGAAGTCAAGGCAAGGGAGATCAGCATTTACAGGCTTTATATCAGGCATCATGAACTGTAAGAGAGATGTGCACATGTTACTCAGGTGAACAAGTCATAAATGGCAGGTAAAAATATGATCACAACTCTTTATATTCTCAGTTCATCACTTGAGCACTTTCATGTCATGTTATTAGGAGGCCCATTATCTTCCTTTTAAATTGTGCAAACACCTGGGGAAATTATGTGGTAAAAGGGTAGAGTGGGTGGGGTGGGGGTTCAGGGAAGGGCAGTCAGTCTGAACACCACACATCCAGCAGGGGATACAATAATGTCAGATCCACCATCTGCAGCTGTGGATTCCTAGGATAACAACTTGTCCAGGGCCAGCTATGTAACTGTCAGGCACAGTGCAAAATGAAAGTGCAGGACCCTTGTTCAAATAATGCAGGGGGAAATTCCATTACAGGTACTAAAACATAAGGCACAGACTTCACCTGCAGTCTCTCTCTTCACTATCGAGGTGTTTTTTATTTGCTATTTTATGTCATTCTAAAAGAAATAATTAAAATTTTAAATTATTAGCATGAGTTTTACAATCATCTTTATATTGTGCAATGTGAGTTTTAAATGCAAGCATAAAAACATTTACCTCATATCCAGAATCATGAAAATTATACAACTCTTCTATAGTAGCTTGTGCCTGGACCATGCTCTGTGCTGGTCATAAAGGCAAGTTATACTGAGGAAGATTGGAAAAAGAAAGTAAAGGATAGGCAGAGCACAGGCGAGGTGATTCCAGGGGCAAGTGAAGACCTTCACAGGCACTTGAGCTTCTACACCGAGACCCTGGGGTTCCGCCTCCACCAGCTGTCAGGTCTATGCTCCCTGGGGCTGGCAATGATGAGCTCTGGGGGAACCAGCCAGTATCTCCCCCACCCAGGGCCCCCAATCTGTGGCAAACAGGTGACTGCCAAGTTTCTCTAAACCTCTGCACTGGGACATACTAGGTACTTGGATCAAGCATAGGACTTACCTCTGCCACCCACCAAGTACCTGCAAGGGATGGCAGTCTCTGCAATGACTCCAGCCCTCCCTGTGCCACAGCTCCTGTCAGGGAGACATCAGAACACAGGCTTCCTCCATCTATGCCACTCGGTCACCACCTGGCTGGAGTGAGTGGTCAAGAACCTGTCTTTTGGAAGCAGTAAGGACCTCTGGTGGTGCAGTGCCTAGAGCATTTGACTGCTAACCAAAAGGTTGGTGATTCAAACCCATCAGTCACTCTGCAGAGGGAAGACTGGGAAATCTACTTCTGTAAAGATTTACAACCTCAGAAAGCCAATGGGGGTTGCTATGAGTCAGAATCAACTTGATGGCAATGGGTTTTGTTTCTGGTTTTTAGGAAGCAGGATAGAACTGTGTAAGCCAAGGCTCCAACCTCTACACACACACACACACACACACACACACACACACACCATTGTCCAACTGGGCTTCACTCACATAACACAAACTCAAAGATACAAGGATTAAGAATTTCAAGAAGGGACAGCAGAGCATTAAACCAAATACAGGGCCTTTCTGAGCTCAGGGGTTACACCTCCATAAAGCTGGCCCTGGCCATGGCTGACCCAGCAGTTCCATCAGTCCATCAGTCCATGGTTGTCACTTCTAGGAACACTTGGCTTCAAGAAATGGGGTAAGAATGTGCAAACATTGCCACAACAGGCTTCTAATCCATTCGATTAGAGGTTGGTGCCCCTGCCCAGTAGACAGCATGCTTTGGCAAAATGGGGATGCCTTTGTCATGTATTGCTTTGGGTGGTTCCCCAACTTCTCCTAGAAAGCTGAAGCTCTGACAGAGACAAAGTAAACTATAGAAATTATAAAATGTCCTTGACCCTTGTTCCCAGATTAAAGAAACTGAACATGAATCTAAACACTCTCTTATTGAACCTCTCCCAACACTGGACAAACAGACCTTCTTTTATAAGGGTGAGCAAGGGGAGAAACATATCTGAATATATAAAAATTCTCCAACCACCCAAACCCACTGCCATCAAATCAATTCCAACTCCTAGAGACTTTATAGGACAGAGTAGAACTGTCTCATAGAGTTTTCAAGGCAGTATATCCTTATGGAAGCAGACTGCCTCATCTTTGTCTGGAGAAGCAGCTAGTGGGTTCAAACCACTTACCTTTTGGTTAGCAACTGAATGCCTTAGCCACTGCACCACCAGGAGCTGTAAAAAGAATTATCTTTGGGAAAAGGAAAGGAAAAAAAAAAAAAAAGCTTATTATGGGAAGAGGGGCAACATTTTGGAAAATATTAAACTCAGAATGATCAATCATGGGAGAACAGAAGGGCAATATTTGCATGGGAGGTAGCTCAGTGGGTAGGAATGCACAAGAAAGAAGGACACAGGAAAAAGGTAACTACAGGGTAGAAGTGGGGAGAGAGCTGTTACATTATGGAGATTGCAGTCAACGTCATGAAACAAATGTGTAAGAACTGCTGTATGGAAAATGAATTTGCTCTGTAAACTTTCACCCAAATCACAATAAAAATAAAATGAAATGAAAAATATTAAACTCAGTTTTCCAACAATACTTGGAAGGAGAGTATACCCATGAAAAAGGAACAATTTGAGATCAAGGAAAACAGCTATAAGTGAAACCATGATTACACAAAGTAAAACATCAATGTCGATATTGACTAGAATATCAGCCAATGCCAAAAATAGGATGAGCTTACCAATAGGCCATCCAGGGAAATTCTGAAACTCAGAAAAAGGACTTATATGTAAATCAAGAGTGAAGATATGAGAGGCAAGCAGGGCAACTCCTGGAGATTAGTGAGGAAAGCAAGAAAAACGGAAAACAGGTATAGCTTGGAGAAAATATGGGTTCAATTCCAGAACACCACAATACAGCAAATATAACAATAAAGTGGGTCACACCAATTTTTTGGTTTCCCAGTACATATAAAGTTATATTTATACTATATTGTAGTGGACCTCACTGTATGGAATACACAGGAATCAAATTGACTAGAAAGACACAATGAAAAAGCTCAATATCATCAGTGAGAAATTTGCCAGGGGCCAACTGTGGAACAGATCATCAATTTCTCATACCAAGTTCAAGTTGAAGCTTAAGAAAATTAGAACAAGTCCATGAAAGTGGAAATACAACCTTGGACATGTCCCACCTGAATTTAAAGGCCATCTCAAGAATAGATTTCACTCATTGAATATGAATGATGAAAGATCAGATGACTTGTGGGATGACATCAAGGCTCTCATACATGAAGAAAGCAAAAGATCATTAAAATAACAGGAAAGAAAGAAAAGGCAAAAATGAATATCAGAAGAGATGATGAAACTTGCTCTTGAACTTAGAATAGCTAAAATGAAAGGAAGAAATGAT